TCGGTACTTCTTAAGTTAAAAGTACTTTATGCATTATACCCAGACAAAAAAGTTTATAAGTAATGAATGATGAATGTACTAGCTATGCACATGGTAAAGATATTGTAACGAAACTGTGACTAGACCTATCATAATCAAGATAGTTTCTTTATAGCATAGATAGTTTTATTTCAAGAAAATATACATAACAAACAGTCAATTGGAACGTGAATGTGAACCATGTACAAAGCCTTCAAATCCATAAAAGAGACTATCGACATTGAATGTTCGAAGAGAAAGACTACAAGTAATTATATGAAGTATTTCCTAATAGATACTCCAAGATATTCAAACTACTAACTAAAAGATGTCATCTACTTGCTAACGATATGCTTACCTTTTCTGTTTTCTTTTACATGGTCGGATACGAAGCCAGGCAAAATGAATCCTGATGTTTCTAAAATTTATTCATAGTTTCTCCATTTCTATGATTTCCATTTTGACATTTTAAATCCTCTACAATTACCTTTTTAGACCATTTAAAAAGGTAGTGTTTATTAACATTTGTAATACGTCTCTAAGCTCCAATATTAATCTAAAGAGTGGAATATAAACAGGTTTCTCAATACTTTGTTTTCTTTCTGTTTCTAACTTCAGAAAAAGATATTATCTGCAACAATAAATAAGCTGGTTCTAGTTTTTTTATGAAGATTTATCACAAAAAGACAACTAATTTAAGACATTAAAAAAACAATATGTATACTTAACATCAACAAGATTTTGACATTCAAATGCCATATATCCCAAATTAAATATACCTCCATAAGTAGACGCAACTGATGCACATGATCTCTACCAGGAAATAATGGCTTCCGATCCATCAATTCCATAAAAATACACCCCACTGACCACACATCAATAGCTGTAGTATAATCAGATGAATTTAACAATAGTTCCGGAGCTCGATACCACCTTGTAACAACATACTCTGTCATAAAGTCTGTTTCAGATGTGACACGTGCTAATCCAAAGTCACATATCTTTAGGTCACAATTCGCATTCAAGAGAAGATTGCTAGGTTTCAAGTCCCTATGCAGAACATTTGCAGAATGGATGTACTTCAACCCACGGAGGATTTGATACAAGAAATACTGCACTAACATGGAAATAGTTATTTTTGCCCTATGAATATTAATGATATTAAGCAAATAAATGTTTGCAAGAAATAAAGAATTACAATATTAAATTTAAGAATGAAGAACTGTAAAGTTAGATTTGTGTGGACTAAAAAGTAAGCCTAAAAACCAGATTATAGTTTAATTATATTTGACAACCTTAGAATTCAAAGCGAGCAATATGTTATTAGCCAATTACAAGTCAAAGAGTAAAAGACTTAAATATAATGTGCCTTTAAACAATGTAATATATTCAAGAGGCCCAAACAACAATTAAAATTCAATTACCATTTGGCCAGGGAATATATTACATATAATATGCACATTGAGGTTAGAAGTCTACATGAATTTTTGGCTTTGTTTGATGTAGTTATCGTTTTGGTTTTCCTATTCATCTTGTTAGACACGACATTGTGTTGGCATCACGAAATTTTTTTCAGCCAGGCCTTTGATGCTCTTATCCATCTTCTTCTGCTATGACTTTTACCATATGAAGTCATGGTCTTTCAAATCCTATTTTTCAGCTATGAAAGCTACCTTTCTTTCGACCCATCAACTCAATTCATGTTCCAAGTATGCTTGTTTCTTGAGATGAAATTATTTCCGATCATAATAGATTATTTAACACCCACCTCCGCAAATATAAATTTTCTGGAAATGTTCACTTTAAATATATTAATTTGTTTCTCATTGGCAAGCTTAATTGGGATAGGACTCCACTGATCACTGTTGGGTATTCCCATCTCATTTGTCCCTAATTCGTGTCCACTACCCACTTCTCTACATCTCTGATGTGTTCTACTTCCTTAACATTTTCATTATCCTCGAATATAGTAATATGTATAAAAGATAACTGGGGCTTTCGCCACATTATTACTCCTCCCTTACATGTGCAGGTTCTTGTACAAAACACTGTCAAGAGGCCATTTAGCCCTTCTGCTGCTACTTCATTTCCAATTTTCCATTAGACCAATTATTTCTGTTACATACCATTACTGTTGTAGCATGTACTTATCCCTCCTATATTATTAGGTCTAATAATGCCATTAGAAAGTTGATGTGTTTCTCTCTTAGTGAGTTTCCTCCCTCAATTCCACCTCCTTTTCCAAACAATTCACATGTTTCCAGAGTTTGAACCTTCACTTCGGCAGTTTTGAGGAAACACGTACCAAAAACATAGGATGCAGACTGAATGCATTTTAAGTGTCAGGCAAAATGTTGCTGCTGTTAACTAACTTTGAGAAAATAAGCACAAAATTTGCAATATCCACATATATTGTCTTTTAAAGAAGAAAAAGAAATCCCTACTACCCTAAAATGCAACCTTTAAAGAAATCCGAAACGAACCCCTATACTCCTAATAATAACAAAACACACCACAACCAGAATTAATAAAAATAAACATAATTAATTAAAAAGGGACAACTATCCCTCCAAATGCATCAATTTCACAGAATTTCACAAGTAGAGTTAGAGCAGTTTGAAAAAAAATACGAATACATGATACCTCATCTAAGAAGCACAGACACGTGCGTGACACGACACGGAAACGGACACGCCATGTTAGTTTCATAAAAGTAGGACACTGAAACATGCTAAACTGGACACTTATGCCAAGGAGTCTCTAAAGTACCCATTGAGTGTTAGAAATTTAAAAAAAAGGTACAAAATTTGGACAAAGCACGAGGTTTGTTAGATACACGTCGTAGAGTGTCGTGGTTCAACCTGACAAGAAAGAAAGCATATCATGGTTTTCTTATTAAGGGAGAAGGTAAATAATCAACTCAAGAATATCTTGTTTAATTCATTGGAATAAGAAATTATGAATTCCAGCCACACCAAAGGCTTGACTCGTATACATAGAAAGCAGTAACTTAAAATTATATATTTTCAGTCAAAATAATGTTTTAAGTTAGAACCTGGCAATGCTCTTCTGATAATGCTTGATTAGAACGGATGATTTGGTGCAGATCAGTGTCCATAAGCTCATAAGCAATGTAAACATCATTAAATGATGACGTCTGAGGTGGTGGTATTATGTCTCGGATGGCAACAACCTGCAAAAAATAAATGTGTTATTATTTACTGATAAATATTTCTAAGAAAACTATTTCGGAGTTTAGGTTTCTTTTCATTAGGATTGTAAGGTGAATCAAAATAGAATGCCATTGGATTTTGCTTTCAATTTTTATCCAAAATTTAAAGACACTGGAGATTAGTAACCAATTACATGATCCAAAATTCAGTGATGCCATTATGAAAGAAACTTAAGAAATTTCGAAATTCTGCAATGTGGCACTGTGAAAGATTATCTGACAACAAGGACTAAGAAAATCAAAGGTCATTAAATACAACTGCTTCAATACATCTAAAACACTATAGCTACTCAAGCATTTAATGAACCCCATTATAGCAAAGCATTCAAACAAGAACTTAAAAAAAAAAA